ATAATAACAAATTAATTTAGTCAGCCGCTCCGACATTAATAGAGGGCGACTAATGAGAGTACTCACTCCGCCTGTATTATCAAAATAGTACGGTTTTCGCGACACGAGGCACAATAACGTGGAGTTGTAATTTTGTTTAGGTCTCAAAGCACAAAGACATGAAAGGAGATTCCTTCTTCCTGCATTCGTTCATGTCTCTAGTCCAAAACCATCGAATCGGTCATAGAGCAGGACGAAAACACATACTCTCGTACGGTTCGTCCTTTGAGCATCCAACAGTTGTCCAATAGGCTTGTTGTGTGTAATGTCGGTATTTTATTATTTTTGGAACTATGTTGTTGGATGTCATCTGTCTTACTGGTTCCCTTCGTTGCCATTGAGTTTAGATTCGGGTAAGTTGTTTACATTTTTAGCGTCCTTGTAATGTTACCGTCATTTCACGCACCCAACCGTCTTTGGTTTAGACCGTTAACTACCGATCATTCTGGGAGGGGAAAAGTTTTGTTTTTTCTCTGGAACATAGAGAAACAGTCCTACGAGTTTCGAGCGAGACGTCCCAACTACGTCCTGGCTGGTTATTGGTTCACCCCGTACGGAATTCCTGGTAGTCGGAACACGATATAATTCCGTTGGACTGCGTCCTTTTTATTGATGTTGTGGGGATCCGTCAATCACAATAATTTGTGTATATATGCCGTAATTAGGTTGTTTTTTTCCTTTATCATGCGGTTCTCTCCTGATATCCGCGAAGAGATTTTGTGGATCCCGTTCCTCGAACCGACTTCTATCCTGATCACTTGCGTGATTTGTGCATAAGGAATGTTTAGTCTTTTTAGTCCGGAGATAAGACTTTTTCACTTTTTCACTGAAAATAATAGGGTTTGCGGTTGTCGTCGTTCTATCTAATGATCTTAATTGTCCCTATTGACATGGGTTTAAACTATATGAAGTGACTGTTTGTGTGTGGTGAAACTAAAAGACATATTTGTTGTACTTTTCGTTATGTTAATACTCTTGTTATTCTATAGTATGATTGAGGTGCTATTTAAGAGAACAATAAATGAGAGAAGAATACTATTATGGTACACCGATGTTCACTTCCAATAGAATAGAATAGTGTTTTCTGACTTTCCCCTTTTATGGAAAAGGTTTGCACTCAGTTCTTTGTTTATGCGTTGTATTGTGTTATAAGGACGTATTTATGCCCATAGAACTTATACGCCCGTTTATCGTGTTACTTACGTCTAAGTGTTATAAAGTCAAAAAATTTTATTTTCTCTGGAAACTGGGTTTGCCTACACCGTTGTTTGTCGATTACCAATGATCGAATGTAATTGTTTGCCTGACTGGCCATCGTAATCGAGCTCTTTGAAGATCCAAAAATCCACGGTTTTACAAAAAAATTGATCGGATGGGCAAAAACTTCAGAATTTGTATTGACCGCCATTCAAATGACAGCGTTGTTTTCCCCAAAAAGTGGGCGGGGCCGTAATTTTTGTCCGGAAGTGACGTAGGTGTTACTCTCATCTATCCAGAAATCACTCTACGGACAATGCTCTTGTATGCGTTACACAGTGTCACAATCATTTCATTTGGGAATCCTGTTGAATCCCTTTCTTGCAGGGAAACAACTATATTGAGTCTTTAAGTCATATCTTTTATTAAAGCCGTACAAATTCCACACCGAACTCTCCTCATCTAAACGAATTGGCTCGTTTTTTCTCTATTGCACGTTTAGTACGGTTTGTCTCCAACAGGGACCTGTACAGCAACCAGGTCAGCGCATGGTCGCCTGTGATTGGTCGGACTATCAGAGCCGCTCCCTGATTGGTCAGATTGTCAGCGGCACCGGAGCGGGCGGAACAACACATATCCCATCCTGACAACTTCATGTTGTTTAGCTGCTGGCTATCGTTTAACCAAGTTCACCTTTTGATTTGGTGCTGACGCAACGTTTGATGCAACACCTCCGACGTCCTTTTTATGAAGTGTGAACTGACATTTAAATAATAATGTAACGGAGAGAGCTGTGTTAGCTTGACAGGTAAACTTTCTTTTGGAATCACAGCTAATGCTAGTCATTCAGCGTTCACTTTTTAGCTAACGGCTAACAGGAGCGACAGCAGCACCAACAGGAGACAAGGTTACAGGATAACCCAAAGGAAATAACGTAAGACACATAAACACAAAACACTTAACTTTTTCATGGCATGTTAAAAAGTCTAAGTTTAGTTTGAAAACCGCAGTCAGTTTTGTCTTTGCAAACCTGAACCATATCGCTGCTGTAACCCTTCAAACTAAAATATAAAAATGTAGTCATTCCTGTTGAGCACTAAACTCCTCATCAATGTTAAGATGGGTTTCCTTACTTCCACGTTTTAGCTTCTGGTTTAAGTTAACTTCAATTAAAACATGCAGAGGCTTCATACTTGCACATAATGGATGACCCATGTTGTCCACCCATGTGTGTAAGCAACTAAATGAATAACTTGTATTGCCTTTGGTTTAAGAGATTCCTGGGCTCTTTAACGTTTAACGATGCAAAACATTTCTGCAGCTTTGAAATAAATTGGGAGGGCCAGTCATACATTTTTTGGACAATAATGAATGACACTTATTCTTAATCCTATCAATACAAGCAAGTTTGTTGTTACCGTTGTGACACAATTAGACTTGAGTGACATTGTAGATAATGTCCCAAAGTTTATCAGATTCAAGCGGTGCTTGTTCCACTTTTGAGTTCAGGAGCTGCACTTCATATGAAGTTGCATCCCTCAGGGAATTCTGAGCTTGCTAGAACTGATCTCCTGCTCTGACACGCTTGATAAATACGAGCCGTGATGCTACACAGTTGTTTGCTGTTGATTACTTTCTCCTTCCCTTCCCTTTTCCTCCACCAAAGCATGAACTGTCCCCCCACCAAGCGCCTCCGAGGCCAGGATCGAGTGACAACGATGGACTTTGATGACCCGTTTGGAGATGACGAAGACTTCACCCAGGACGACTTGAATGAAATTGACATCCTCGCCTCGCAGGCCATCACCTCGGCCCCGGCACCTGGACCTGGGTCTAAAGCAGGAACTAAACCGACGGAGCTGGCACACGGGTCTGCAGGGCAGAGCAGAACTATGGGCAGAACCACAACCAATCAGAGCAGAGAGAACACATTTGGGTTCGGCAGCAGCAACAAAGGGAATTCTGGGATACAAAACAGAGGCCCTATCGGTGAGTTTAGAGCACAACTGATCACTGAAGGTTTTTACTGCACCTTCATTTGTCTGTTAAATTCTTGCTGAATGTTTTTTGTTGCTAAAGAGAAGATTATTTATTTATTCCTCTGCTGGCATCAAATCCGCCAAGAGAGGGATTTAAATCATTTGAAAACGCACCCAAATGCGTCTGTCTGGGTGCTGAGTGTCAACGTGTGAATTTAATCTCCTAGATCCTGTTATATTTCTAATTTATTACACTAAGAAAAGAACATTGGTGCCATTTGCTCCTGTGTATGTGATCCAATTTGGCTCTGAAACACACACATTTCAATACCTGCTGATAACTGTTTTGTTTCTTTTTGAAGGTATAATTGAGCAACTTATACCCCAAATGATGTAAAGATTTTTATATAATGATAGATTTTTTCTCGTAATACAGAAACACTTTTCTAGAATTTATTTAAAAAAGAACAAAGGCCTGGAGCCTCATTTATAAACGGTGCGTACGCTCAAAAGATGGCGTACACCAGTTTCTACGCAATGTTTGCGATTTATAAATGACTAACTTGACGGGAAAATGTGCGGTCCTCCACGCGAACTCCGACCCATGCGTACGCACTAACCCTAACAACGGGAGAAACGAGAAACTGCAACACCGTTGGCAGAAGGAAGAATGGAGAGAAATATGTGGAAATAATACCATAAATAAAATGTTACCTCTCATTTATCATATATGAAGAATTCATTTTCAAACATTGATTAAAGCCAATCTTAAAATGATTTAACAAACGTCTGTTTGAGGCTCCTCAGTGCACACAAAAACATAACTTGGAGAAATTAATAAATACGGATATGTTATTTAACACCACCTTGAATATGTTGTGTTAATGTTATGAAATGTTTTCTCATAAATGATGCGGTAAGCAGGAGGACAGAATTNCGTATATTTAGGTCCATTAAGTTTCCCAAGGTATGAAAAAGAACGTTGACATTAAATCGACACCAAAATGTTTTAGTTATTACAAAACACAAAAATTCTCCCTGGATAGTATCGTTTACGTCAAAAACATACACAGGCCACCACAGCCCTTGAGTGGTTCACAGTCTTTGTGTTGGGAGAGAAAACGGACGGTATGGATTAGAGATTTTTGCCCCGACGTATGCCTCGACCTATAATAAACTTAAAAAGACTGCAGTCTTTTTGCCCACGACGGCGATATACTCCGTAGAGGAGGTGGATAGTCCCCTTACTCTCTGGCGACCTTTCGCGACCATCTGCGGCATCGTGTAACTACGGTTCCGACATTCACCGGCGACATCAGGACGAATGTTTTTCGTCTTAGTCGGGAACGTTTTTGTCCCTGACCTTTTCTCGTTTATCTCACTTTTCTCCGTACCGATTTTACGTACTAGACAAACCATAAACTTTTTTTTTTTTTTGAAGTGTCTGTACAAAATATTATCCATACCGGGATGTTACTATACAAAGTTTATATCGTATCTATCAGGTGAAATTTATTCCGAAAATACCAAAGGGAAAGGACAAATATATACCAAAAAACACGTACATTTACAGACGTTTCCGATGTTAGGTTCCAAAAGGAGGTCTCAAAACCATATAATAACCTTCGCAAACCTAGAGGTTATGGTTCAAAATTATTACAAACCGACGTGTCACCTTCAAAATCACTGTGACCATAGTAACTACCCAAATTCCTGAACGACAATACCGGAACATGTACGATTCATTAAAGTTTCAATAACGAAAAACTTTAAACGTATTATAAATGTTTTCAGTTGATCTTTGTAGATCTTTTGACAATAATAATTGACCTATACTGGTAAACTCCCTGTCCAGTACCAATACACTCACGTTTCTATAACCATCCCAGATGTCATGACCCTATTGAGTTTAGTTACATTCTTTATTTGAAACCTGTTTATTAAAATTCACGTAAATTCTTTGCGAAAACTACTTTTAATGGTTTGGTTCGTTTATTACATGTCAGTTAATTTAGTGACGTTATTGCCTTGGTCCAACCTGGTAAACTGAAGTCAATCCACTCAATTTACGGATGGAGGACTATATTGTGCTGATACCAGCTAATGACTCGTCGAGTTACAGGTAACCGACCGCCGGACTCAGTGAGAGAGAGTGTTGGCTTCCCACGCATTCATGCGTGACGTGGAGTTTGAAACCGTGTGAGGGTGGTACATAGGCTTCTTCAGTCGTGACGCGAATATACGTCGGCGTGCCGCACTGCAGGGGTGCGCGAACTCAGTCTGTGTTATGCTCCTTTTAGGGGTTCCGTCTCGTTTCCCTCTCGGGAGAAATTAGCTGCGAAGGGCCACGATACGTTTCTCTCTCTCCCTCTCTCGAGACTATTTGTTGTTGTCACAGAGTCAGCCCGGCGAGAGCTTGACCTGGTCGGAGGTATGACGCCCGGAGTCACTTGTTTGTCAACTCCATAATTTTGGTATAATGGTCATAAAGGATTTCCTAACATCTCTCCTCTCTGCTACAAATAAAGTCTTTCCCGCCTTTTCGTCACATAATATCGCTCTTCGAGTTGTCAATGTGTGCAATAACACCGACAAGACGGTAATATGTCTGGACCTCCGTAAACGATGTGTAAAATAACATATGTGCTGCCCTTTGTACAATCTTTTTGTAGGAAATAAAGTCATATTTAGTCGCGTCTTTCACAACGCGTGAAAGGTGTCGGCCGCGCGAGAGGACTGCGTACTCTCCGATAAAAACTGTTTGCATAAATTGAAAGAAAGTGTCCGGATGCTCCTGAAAGGGAGCAGTAAATGTCGTAAGACGCACACAGCAAGTCATGTAAGAAACAACTTTACGGTACGCCTTCACTCTTTCGAAAACTGTGCTGTGTTTTTCGGGACCCGTCACACTGTAGATACGCGTAGTCCTTTCCGCGTGCGGCCTCTCTACATGCCTCGAAGTCCTAGGCGCTCGAGAGGGGGGTTCCGCCGCGGGGCGTCGGCCCAGCGCCGCCGTCATATATGCGCCCTGTCCCGGGGTTCCAGTTGCCCCTACCTCCCCAGGTTGGGAGGTCCTCTGCCTCTCGGGGGGTTTGACCCGGTCTTTACCAGCTGGATGCTTCTTTCCACACACTGACGAGCGAAACAGCAACAACAGAGCTACTCTGTTGTAGCTGTGCACTGTGCGTTCGTTTGTCGGTGTGTGATGTACTTGAATTACAGTATCCACATATGTAATTAAAATATTACTGTCTAGTATCTACATTTATCTGTGTGTGGTGTTAGGTTTGTACTAACGTTTCTCGTCATTTGGTTTGTACAACTTTGGAGTAATACTAGCCGTTTTCCTTCTATATATTTGGATTAATATTCGTAACTTTATCGTGATATTTGTTGTGGCGTGAATATTTTAATACTGTCGCGTTATTTTCTGTCATTAACTGTCTAAAGGTCTATTATATTTTATAGGGGTTTCTATTCATACGATAGTCTTCTATATTGGTAACTGTTAAGAATGGTTAGTTGTTGTAGCGTACGTGTGTTATTACAACGAGAAAATTATTATTCGTGGAAGTTGTTGGTTCCAAAAATGTTCCCCATGGTATTATCGTTGTTCTTTAGATTGAGTGAGTTGAACTTGGAGGCATTTCTCTCCTTTTTTACCGTTTCATTTTGCGTATGTAAGGTATTTTTAATTCAAAAAGTCTTCGCAACGTTCACTTTCAGCGTCTAGTCCCTTTAGCCAATTTACACACCAAGAAGATTTTACTAGCTTTAACGTGCGTCATTCTTAAATTATCAGCTTGAGTTGTCGACATACGACCCGATATACCACCCTTTGATAAAAAATAGATGAACTTTTAGTAAGAAGTACTTCAAGTGTAGTAACTCTCTGTTTACCCTGTCCTCGTGCGCTCTCTGTGGTGGGGCATCCATATGTGGACTCTCAATTTCCTACCCTCGAGAAAACTTGCGGTGCTGGTGTGTGCGTGTTCCTGTCGTTTCTTTTCTTCAGTTGTGTATCTATGTGCTGTCTAGTCTCCCATATATATATTACAGTGATTATGTTTCTGGCTGTACCGCGTGTCTGTGTGTAACTTTTGATAGGATTGTGTTTTTTACTTCCTTTATAAACAAAAGTCGAAATAGCACTTTGATTTTGGTGGAGTAGCAACCATTGTGTTCACTCTTGGGTATACAAGAAAATTTACTCTCCGAAATCAAGTAATACTTATAATACTTTTTCTCGTCAAACACTTTGTCTAGTACGAAATTCGTAGTCGTGACAGGGTTAAACGAACGTAACTCATATTCTTTCCCGAGCTCGCTCGTCCGGGTTAGTAATATCGAAGCCAATCAAATACACCCCCCCTTTAATGGTTTTTTCTCTTTATGTTTAACACTACGTATGATTGTAGCAGAGATTGTAAAAAAAATTTTTCATAAGGACCATAAGAAAATCGGGTGGGGACTGGTAGACGGAAAAGGAGGAGAAATCACCCTGGTAGCCTGCTACTTCCTGAACTAAACTTGTCGGTACTTGTTGTTGCCCGGTCACAGGACATGGGGGTAGCGAGGATTTTGAACGTGGTTCTTCACGCGTACAACTTTGTTTTAGAGATTTAGAGGTCCTGCGGTTTGAGTTGCACCCACTACAACCGGGAAACTACGGACAGCACGCACAAGAGGACTGTCGGAGGCTAACCGAAGTCATGTTTTCCGTGGTTTTTTTTTGCCGACTAACGCCCGTTCGACTCGGATTTTGGACTAACATCGTATCACAAATAAATTCAGTCTGACACTTGACTTAACTAACGTAGCGAGGAGTATGAGATTTGTTTGAAGCCGCATTCTGAATTGGTTCGTTGCCAAAACTCTTTCCAATATAAAAAGCTCGAAGAATTTTTTCCCGATTTAAACGATTCACCGTCGACTCAAAGCTTCTCTTCGCGGAAGAGTGGACGAACAAGGCACTCCTAGCAGACGCTAAACAGCATTGGCACGCCTTGT